ATTCTAAACATTTTTGCTTAAGAAGTTTAAATAGATTATCTTAATAAAATTTTGAGTAAATTCAGTTTATTTTTTGTCCAAGATTATGTCCAAAGGCTGTCCAATGACAACACTGACCGTAATTACTATATGATTCTGTGTATTATAAAACTTGAATTTTTAACCAGTCATTAAATTTTAATTGATTTCAATCCCTAACAACTTTTAATAATATAAACTAACCGGATACCGGTTAAGCATAATTTATTCGGGTACAATCTCTATTATGAAGGTTTTATTATACGGTTATTTTACGGTAAAATAACTGGTTATCTGTTATTATACCAAAGTTTTTATTATACCCAACCCTACATATAAAGGTCCCATTAAATTAAATTGGAATGGGCTAGAATTACCTGATCGCAAATTTTTTCAGGCTACCTGTAGTTTATATATTTCAGTGTTGGCCTATGACCTGTTATGATCTATTGCCCAATTATAGGTTATGACCTTATGACCTGTTATGACTTATAAAATTTACTAATACATTATGACCACCTTGGTCATATAAAGTTGGATATGACCTAAAACGGTCAACACTGCTATTGAATGACGGTCCCAGGGGTCGTGCAGATCAACCAATCGCATCTAATGTTCTACGTGATTAGGAAATTAATATTCAAAATTTGAACGAAGGTATCTCGATAACTACCAGGCAAAATTCGATGAACATGAATTCTATAAATCTGTAGAATTCAAATAAAAAAAAGTTCATCGATTTTGACCCAGTGGTTACCAAGTTATCTTCGCTCAGTCTTAAAAAACTCAAAACGTCTATCAAAAATTGAAGCTGCGCCAAATTTTTTTTTTTTTAAAACTTTAAGCGAAGATATATCGGTAACCACTAAGCAAAATTTTTTATTTGAATTTTACTGTAAAATTCAAATAAAAAATTTTGCTTAGTGGTTACCGATATATCTTCGCTTGAAGTTTTAAAAAACAATTTGGTGCAGCTTCTATTTTGAGTTTTTAAGACGATGAAATTTTTTATTTGAATTCTACAGATTCATAGAATTTAAATAAAAAAATGTTCATCGAATTTGGCATGGTAGTTATCGAGATACCATCGTTTAAAGTTTTAAAAAAAATTTTAGCGCAGCTTCTATTTAGATAAACGTCTAGTGTTTACATATGTAATCAGTATTAAATGATAATAAAAACGAAGGTCTTGTGAGATTAAAAAATATATATATATGACGATCACACAATTTGAAAATAGCGATAATAAAGAATTCAGAAATTCGTTTTAATTTCGGTTTTGCGACATACTTTAATTTGGCACTTTTTGTTAACTGTTAATTAATTGTATTAGAGTTTTAATGCTACGTACGTAACATTTTATTAACCATTCTACGTACAATTTTTTTTTTCTTACGTATACGTACATATATTAAATTGGCAATGGAATAAGTTTGAAATACGTATCACATATACGTAGAAGTTTGACCTTATCGTTATGAGGCTTATCACTGTATACGTATTTGTAAACGGGCCACAAACACAAATACAACTTATTACAGGTTTGATACGTAATAAATTTTAGCCACGTACATATTATTTTTTTGTTATATATAACAATGAAAAGTGGCATATCTTAAGCACGGATTTAAGATTTGTAACGAATGCAATCATCATTCACATCTATATTGTAAAACATGCAAAAAAAGTAGCGGATAAGCGATGTGAATGCGAAAATTCTCGAATAAATCAGAATTACCGATTTTCCAATCTAACGTGTTAAAATAAATTCCGCATGTAAAATTGAAAGCTCTTCGTGGCCTATGTTTCGACATAGAACGTTCTTTTTTCTCAGTTATTTGGTGTTCCTGCGGTTGTGTGGTATACAGGGAATTAATGGGTAAATAGAATATATGCTAACTAATGAGTGCGTCACCGTAGACTATTCCGGCTGTGTGATATTTAGTTGTTAATGACTATGACATAAATACTTATAACCGAAAAGCTCGCTAACGAAAAAGATATCCTTGAAATAGAAGATGGGCAGATTGAAACACTAATCGAACGCATCGAAAAAAATATTGAATTACCTATGCCTATTGTATATCAGGAGACAAAAGACAAAAAAGAAACACAAATACACGGGATACAAAAAGTTCTGAATGACTTGTCAGTACTTTATTATTTAATAATAGCGGTAAAGGAGATGGTAGTGTCGATGTAGAAAGTAAAATTAAATATTTGCAAAGTATAATATTATAGGATAAAATTCAATAATAAAGTTACCTCTGTTGGTAACTGAAATTCTGTCATCGAAGACTGCGTTAACGGCCAAGCACCGGCTGTTAGAACCAATATGGAAAAATCAACTGGCGAGCCTATGATACAAATGTTAATAGTTTGATTAAGATTTTTAATAATAATACCGATAATAAAGCAACTACTCACCATTTCCTCCATTAGTAAGGTTCTTTTTAGTGTATTCAGAAAATTTACTATTTATATCTGCGCTGATCGTAATGTCAGTAAACATCTTTTGTAATTTACTAGTGTATTCAACGCCACATGAAATCTTGTATTTAAGAAAATATAGTTAGCAATTATATAATACTGTTTAATAAAGGTAGTGTATTTACCTTTAGGCGCGTAATCATATTCCCTTCTGCCTCATCAGATGCAGAATTTCCATATATCAGACGTTTGGCAAGCATTCTTGAATAGAATTTTTGATACACATCCTTGTCATCAATATATTTGAAAAGGACGATCTGAAACAAAGTCATCAATTAATTTTCTTTTGAATGCAATAAATAAATCAATGTAAATATGTAAACATGTCAAACGCTTTACCATTTGATCCAATTTTTCCTCAACTTCTTGTTCACTAAATCCACCTTTATGTGTTTTTTTCAACAAAACATCACAATAACGGGCAAGAACTTCGGGCGAATGTGCAATAGGATTTGTACTTGTGTCGTTAACAATTGTTCTAAAAGCTTTGTCTACGGCTGCGACAAAAGCCGAATCATTAATAAATACTTTTTGGCAAACGATCATATACTTTATATGAAGATCCATAAGCGACTCTACATATTCTCTAGGATCCTATCAAAAAAAAAAAAAAAAAAAAAAGACGCGTAAAAAATTTAGATGTTTGATATAAAAAGCAATGATGCACTTTTTGATCTTTCATAAAAAATTACCTTTGCTATTGAATTACCCATTCTCTCAATCATTCCTTTTCCAATGTTTGAAATATATTTCTCAAATATCTCCAACAAAGGATTAACACCATCAGGTATACGTGATAGAAGATTGTAGGCCATAGTACAATCTGTAATATATATTCTATTGAATAAAAGAAGTCACCTAAAAATAATACATATAAAGTGAAATAATTTCATATTTATCGCACCTTCATATTTTTCATTGGAAATCATAGCCTCAAATTCACCATGTATACGTGATTGATGCATAGCTACATATTGGGTTTCGCATTCTTTGATTATCTATTTGTTTCAGCATTATAATCAAAGTAAGATCAAATTAAAATGAAACATTACACAACATACACTCGACTCAACATACGATACTATGTGAATCAGGATGGCAATATTTAAGGTTGCGCGCCACCTCCTGTTCTAACCTTTCGTTGGCCTATTGTATATAAGATATTAAATTAATATCATTACTTCGAAATATAAAATCAATGATAATTTTTAAATTGTGATTATAGGCAATACCTTTTTCATATATTGAGAAATGTTATCATTTGATATCACCGCTGCGGACTCTCTTTCGTAATATTGTTTCGTTTTTTCCAAGTATGGCTTTTCGAATACTTCACTATATAAATGTAGTTGTTTGTTATCGGTCAAAATGTTAAGTTCGACTAATTACAGAAAAATCGATTAGATAATATGATTAATGTTAAAATCAATTATGAATAATGAAAATAAAATACCCAAAGAACTGATCGCATCTGCAACAACGTTAGGAACAGTATCCTTTCCATCCCTATCCCTTCGGATAAGTTCGAATATCTGATACATTAACCGATCCGAGTGCTTCAACCTTATATCATCAATAACTCGCTCCTTCCATATCAAATATGCCAGCTAAAATGTATTTTATCAAAATGATAATAATAATAATAATAATAATAATAATGAACTACTGAATATTCAATAGATATGAAAATAGTGACTTTCGAATATTCCTTGCAAGATACAAACCGCATGAATAGTTTGCCGTCTATATTTGCCATCTTCAACGGGATGATATCTATCTGTTCCACTACGACTTTTAGGATCTTTACTTCTCAATATAAGTTTATTAAGATAATCACATATCTTGCTAGAAAAATCGGATGCAACCCTATAATGCTCCCATTCTCTAGCATATGCGCTAACTATATCGTCATGATCCAAAATTGACTTTGAAAATATTAAAATATTTAATAAAATTATTCATTGTACAAAGGTAACGGTTCAAATAAAATATAATATTTTACATACCCTTCTTATTTTATTAGTGTACTGTGTCAAAAAATCGGCGATAGAATTAAATAATTTATTTGTATGCGGCTTAGGAGAAGAATTACACATATCATAAACCAATCTTTTGACGGTCAAAGGACATATAAAAGTTTATTTTACAAAATACAAAGCAAAAAAGCTTTTTCGAAAAGGATACTGATACATATTCATTGCAGAAACTTTATCCAACCCAGTAAAATTGAACAAGCGTTCTAAATCTTGTTTGAATTCTGGAAAGGTTCGATCAAACACAATTCTCTTTGGACGAAGTGACATTGCAAAAAGTATTAATCAGGATAATAGAATAGATATGCATAAGTATAATAAGAGCATATACTGTAGATACATATGTAGAATATACATAAGCTTCTAAAACTCATGTGATAATACAGGTCACGTATTCATTTATTTTATTTACCGAATAAGGATGTTTCGCATTAGTCTTCAAAACTTTTCAAGTTATCGAATTCAAATTCGGATGTCTCACTCAATTAATACTGAAAAGTATGCTACGTGGAGTAGAGAGGAATTAATTGCCAAACTACTGAATTATGAAACCGGTCAACAAATACAACACGATTCTATCTCAACGACAGCCACCACAACATCCTTATCATGTGACTCTGACAAAACTTCAACTTTTAAAAAAAGTAGTAAAAAAAGTCCTCGACCATTTGATATGTCGAAATATTCAAAGAGACATATTGCACTTAAATTAGCATATTTTGGCTGGAATTATCATGGATTTGCAATGAATGTTAACGAACAAAAATTTCCAACTATCGAAGGACACTTGCACTTTGCTCTTATGAACTCAAAAATGATATTAGATCCTTCCAAATGTAATTTTTCTAAATGCGGTAGGACGGATAAAGGTGTTAGCAGTTTAGGACAAGTTGTAGCTCTAGATATTAGATCAAATCTTCCACAAGATTCTCCTCATGTATTACCAATTACACCAATGAATGATGGCACTCCCATCAAGCAGGATGTGACAAGCACTAACGAAGATGGTATTAAGGGAAAGCCAAAGCAGATTGAAGAAATTCCTTACATTGAAACACTTAATCGTATGCTTCCAGATGACATAAGAATAATTGCTTGGGCGCCAGTAAATTCTGATTTCAATGCAAGACATGATTGTCGTTCCCGACATTACAAATATTTTTTCGTAAAAAGAAATTTGGACATAGATCTAATGCGTAATGCCGCAAAGAGGTTTCTAGGAACTCATGATTTTCGTAATTTCTGTAAGATTGATGGAGCAAAGCAGATTGATAATTTTTTACGTACGATACTTCACGTGGAAATTGATCTAGTACAAGATCAACAAAATTGCTCAACAGATGAATTTTATGTATTTGATTTGAAAGGAACAGCCTTTTTATGGCATCAGGTTCGATGTATGATGGCAATCTTGTTCTTGGTTGGTCAAAAATTAGAAGAACCTTCTATTATAGATGACCTTTTAGATATTAAAAAAACTCCAGCAAAACCAATTTATAATATGGCTAGCGAGTTGCCTTTGGTACTGTACGATTGTCAATATGACAATGTGAAATGGCATTATGGTAGAGATGACAATATGTTTAATACACTTTCTAAGCTTTATAAACACATTTATGAACAATGGTACGGTTATGCTACAAAATCTTTACTCTTCTCAAAATTATTGAACGATCTTGGCGGAATGTCTTTGAAAAGATTTATTCATCCTGGGCAAGAATTAAAAAATCTCCCCATAAACACTGAACAAACGCTAAAAGAATTGGTTTCTTCTGATATTAGTACGTCGTCTGATAACTTATCGAATATTATTACTGGAGGTGGAGGTAAAGAATTGCGAGTTCGAAAATATGTAAAAATTGCAAGTCGTGAGACATGTGACTCAGCAGAAAGTAAAAATGAAAAATATAAAGTAAAGAGGATTAAATTAGAATGAAATATTCAATTATCTAATTTTGAGTATTATCGTCTCATGCGTTCAAAGGTATACTTATTCTTTAATATAATTATCTAACCGACCGACGATTCAGCATATTTAGCAACCCGTCCTGGTTTTTCGATATTCGGGACTTTGCCAAACCTTGCCAATGGCCATAATACATATGTTACTTTGGCATTTATTAACCCCAATGGTACCTAAATACCAATGATATATCAATTAGTGACTAACAAGTGTATTAATTACACATAAGTTTTACATAATAATATTTTCATGTTACCGGCCCAAAAGTGTTACTATCTTTGCTATGAAGTGCGTCATCACCTTCAACCCAACAATATCCATTTGGTATTCTTAAAAATTTATCCGGATAAGGTGGTAATGTGAAAACTGTATCTCCTTCTAATGCTATTATTCGTTTGGTTATTACCTTATCTGGGTCATCTGGAGCACTAAACCATTCAAGATCTTTAATATAAATCGCAACGACACCAAATTCCATGAAACTGTTGATACACACTATAAGGTTACTACGTCACCCCTTTTGTATTTATGACTAATAGCTGCTTGACGGTTCAATAAAACAATATCTCTAGTGAGTTTGTTTGAGTCCGGATTAAATGTTGGCTAAGGTTTTATTTCAAGTTTGTTAACACAACTTAAAGTTTATTTAAAGAAGGTATTGTCTTTTCACTAAAACATTTCACCTGCATAGATCGCCCGCTTATAGAGCTTATTGTATATCCATGATCTAAACTCCAAATTATTACAGGAATCCAAGAAGCAATACCGACACAAGCTCGGATTGTTGGATAAGATGAAAAAAATCGTGGCATAATCTGAATATGAAAAATTGAATTTGAAATTTTTGATCAACTATTTCTAATTTTGGTGAATTTAGTAACGGGGTAATTCTTTCATTGTTTAAAGCTAATTCAAAATTATTCTTATTAATCATAAAAAGTTTATGAAAGTTTTTCTTCTGTGACTAAGAATAAAGTTCGTGTGTGGTTAAGATAAATTTCGTGATTTATGCGATTTTTTTGTATTTTGTATTTTTTTTATTTTTTTGTTGCGTGTCTATGCCAATTACTGTATATGCTAATTCTAAGAGTTTGTACGTAACTGAATTTATTTTTTATTGGATTTAATCTGATTAACAGGATTATATCTGATACGTATACTTGCTATTACTAGTTAAATATAGCAACAAGCTACTTGGCTTAGCAAGTAATAAAATATGGTTTGTATGGTACTAGAAAGTAGTCTACTAAAATAAAATTTAATATTTATTAAAATTACAAAAAGATCTAACTTCTGCTAGTGTTTATATACTAGACTAAACTTTTACTTAATTAATAATAAATTTTTGTTAAAAGAAACATTTGTAATACGTAGCAAAATTTATAAAAATATCATATATTGAGGGTTCGCTAAAACGGAGGCACTATTGAACAGTGTTGGCCTATGACCTGTTATGACCTATTGGTCAATTATAGGTTATGACCTTATGACCTGTTATGACTTATAAA